TCCTCCTCCTCCTCCTCCTCCTCCCTGTCCTCCTCCTCCTCCTCCTCCTCCTCCTCCTCCTCCTCCTCCTCCTCCTCCTCCTCCTGTCGCCTCGGCCAGAATTTTGATTTCTAACGATGGCTGCCTCGCGCATTGGCACATCCACGTGGCCGGCATCTCCAACGCGCAGTTCGAGCGCATCTGCGCGATGCTGGCTGCGGACGTTGATAGTGCCACCCGTGGCCCCGCGTCGCGCGCCCTGGCGGTCACCGGCGACTTCGACTTTTGCGCCAGGGGCCACTTCCACGTGGAATGGGTCCCGGGGGGTTCGTTGGCCACGCGGCCCCGCGCCGACGGCCCGCGCGCCCCGCGACGCCACGAGCGACAGTGGAATGCCATGTTTGGGCGAATGGTCGAGCTCGTGGCGCGGTCGCCGACGCGCGCGCACCGCGGCCCGAAGGCGGTCTCGGCGATCGACCGGGTCTTCAATCCGTGCCCGACTTGGCTCCTCAAGCAGGCGCGGCAGCAGGCGGATGAGCTCCGCGCCCGCGAGCTAAGCGACCACGGGGCCTTGCTGGCGCGCGTCGGCCACCGCGATGGAGATTGCAACCCTGGCGGGCAGACGCGGATGGGCGATGGGCGGCAGCTGCAAGCTCACGCCGCCGCCCCTCTTCTGGATGTCCGGCGCTGGGGAGCTGGTCTCCGCCTGCGCCGCGGCCGCGGCGCTCTGCTCGTTCGCCGCTCACCCGCCAACGACGCTGGACCTGCGCGCTCGCATCCCACAGGAGGTCGGCGCCCGCGCGCGGGGCGGGCGGCTGCAGTGGGGACCGAACTCCAAGGCTTCGAGGGCCACGGTGTTCCATTGCGTGGCACGCTGCATTTGGCGCTAAGGCCGTTAGGGCTAAAACCTCGCGGCGCGGCTCATCCACGTCCGAGCTGGCGCTCCGAGTTCGTCGATGCCCACCCCGGGCGAGCGCCGCCGGCGGGTGGCGCGGCGTTCCGCGCGGCCCGCGACCGCGCTCGGCGCGCCGATCTCCTGCGCCAGGAGGCGCGCCGTGGCCAGATGGCCCCAGGCCAGCCCTCCTCCCCAGCCCGGGCGGGCCCTGCCACGCTGGCGAAGTTACGGTAGCGAGCGGAGCGGCGCACGAAGCGGCCATGAAGCTCTGGTCTCCTTTCGGCGTGCGGCGCTGCCTCGCTGGCGTGGGGGCGGAGGGCCAGGCTGTCAACGCCTCCTCGGAGCGGGCAGCAGCGTTCGCGGCCCACTGGGCCCCTGTCGACGAGCGGGCCGCCCAGCGGTGCTTGAGCCGCTTCTCGCCCCGCCTCGCGCCGAGCAGCTGGCTGGCGTCGCGCCCCCGTCCCGGGCAACGCTGCGCCAGGGCGTCTCCTGGGCGCGGGCGTCGGCGCCGGGCCCCGACGGCGCGCCGCGCGCGGGCTGGGCCACGGAGGGGGGCATCAGTGTGCCGGCGCACGCGCTGCGGTGGACGGCGCTCGGGGGGCCCGCGAGCGCTCGCTTCGCCCGGGCCCGCGCCGCCCCCCCCCCGGAAAGGGCGAGGGGGCTGACAAGGGTGGAGCAGCGCGCCAGCTAGCGGCGCAAGTCCTTTGGCCCTGACGCAGCGCAGCAATATGGCATTGGCGAGGCGAGCGCCGCCCTTGAACGAAGGATTGCAATCCTTGTTTTTTTTGCAATCCTTGGTTTTTTTTGCAATCCTTCGTTTTTTTTTTTTGCAATCCTTCGGTTTTTTTGCAATCCTTCGGGTTTTTTTTGCAATCCTGGGTTTTTTTGCAATCCCTCGCCACAATGATCGCCCCATATGATCTCCCCGATCCAGTGCGGCTTCGCGCGCGGGCGGGATGCCCCGCGCAGTGTTCTCCCGCGTGGCGTCGCGTGGGCTTGGGCCCCCGATGGCCCGGCCTCTGCTTGTGGCTTCGATTTTATGCTCGGGCGCAAGCGGCCCCCTCCCTGCGATGGCTCTTCCTGTCTCCGGGCCCTTGGGTTATGAATCGGCATCTGGAGAATGTCCTCGCGATATGGTATTGTGATGTCCAGGTGTTCGAGGAGTCGCAAGCGGGGCTCAGGCTCGCCCTCCTGCTCATCGCGATCGCGAACTCGGTCGTGCTGCAGGGCTGCCCTCTTAGCGGCGACCCATGCGCGACCTGGGTCAACGTCTTCTCGGTCGATCTCGCCTCGCCCCTCGAGGAGCGCCGTCTGGGCATCGCCAGGGCGCGCGCTGACGGCCTTGGCGCCATCTCGTTTGGTCCGCACGGCTGCAGTGCATGCGGGGTCGCTGGGCCTCTGCCGCCGCCTGGCCGGCCTGGCATTGAACATTTCGGAATGCAAGTGCGCGCCGTTGGGAGGGCCGTTGGATGACGGCAGGCGCGCTGCCGCATTGGGGCGCCTCGCCTCGGCCGACGCGGCCTGGGCGGCGTTCGACGTCGCGGGGCACTTGCCGGGCCTCGGCGTCATTCTCGGCGTCGACGTGAGCTCGGAGACGCAACGAACGCCTTTTTTCCATTGGCCCACAAACTCGCTCGCCCGAGCGGGCCGGCACGTCCAGGAGGATTTTGGCGCGCCCGCCCTGACCAGTGCCGACGCGCGCGCTGCTGCCGCGCATCTGCGGGCGGCCATGGCCGCGCCGGCGGGGCGGCGGGCTAATTTGATTCTGCTGCGCCGCTCGGCGACGGCACGCTTGCCGAACCGCCGCTCGGCGAAGGCGCGCTTGCCGAACGCCGTTCCTGCGCGGGGGCGCTGCGCGGCATCTCGGCGCAGCGACGTGCCTCTGGCCCTCCGCCTGCTGGCGGCCTCGGAGGGCCTGGGCGACTAACCGCAGCTGCGCACGGCGGGCTTGGCGGCGCTGGACCACGCGCGAGAGCTCCGGCAGTCGCGCTCCGCTGCCATGCACGGCGGCTCCCTGGCGGCGTCCGGCGGCAAGCTGCACCTGCAGCGGGTGCTCCAACAAACTCCGCGCCAGCGCGTTCACCGACGACCTGGCTGGCTTCGACGATGGCCAGGCGGATGAGGCGCTAGCATCTCGCGGTGGAGACCACCGAGGCGCTCGACTGGGGGGCGCCGGCCGGTGACCTCCGATGCTTGCCGCAAGCGCGGCGGATGGCGTCGCTGCGAGCGCGGGCCGGGGCCTGGCCGATGGCGGCGCGACTCCAGTCGCGCGACGAGCCGTGCATCTTCGGCCGCGCGGCAGGGGCCGAATGGTGCGCTGCGACGAGCGCCGGCGCCTCCGCGGCGCCGCAGAGAGAGCGCTGGGCCGCGCACTCACCCAGTCTGCGCACGAGCGCCTGGCTCTAGACACCGGGGCCACGGAGCCCGAAAAATGGTAGAGGGCCCGCGACGTCGTGCTGATATGCCATCTCCACCGAGTGGTCTCCCATTGCTTCTCGTCTCCCCCCCCCTGCCTTCAGACTTCAACCGATGCTGTTTTGCCGCGCGCGAAGCCGCAGATCGGACAATTCGCCGGCGCCGCCGGCCTCGATAGTTGCAGCAGACCTTTGCGTGAACAGTGAGTGGTGTGTACATATAAATATATATGTATGGATATGTATACATAGATATACATATATATAGGTATACATGCATGCTCACACCCCCTCCCAACATATTCTTCGTTTACCCGTGCATTCGTCCAGTTTCTCCCACCTCCTTCTCCTCCTATATCCCGATCTGATTCGGATTCAAATCAAATCCTCTGAGTTTGGGGTCTGCTCAATTCCTATTGAATTATTATCCGGTACTTGTAAACATAAAACTGCAATCTTCTGAACAAATGTGAATTCCAATTGAATGCTGATTCGGATCAAAGTTACACCCACATGGAATCATATGAGTACGGGGCGTGCTCCATTACCATTGAATTATTGTTTGTTTTCTCCCACATTTCATTGCTATCATTTGCGTATGAGGTTTGCTCCATTCCCGTTGCAATCTTACGTGAGCCTTCAAATGTCTTGACGTCCTGTGAATAGCGGGTCGCATCCATCCCCATGGAGTTCGGATGTGACCGTGGTCCCCCCTCACGTCGATTCTATCTATCACATTCTCTCTTTTCTACTCTGACACCTACTTTCTCCATTCTCTATTGTCGCGTATACAGTTTAGCCTGTTCTCTACTCCGTTGTCTCTTTTTTTAACAGTGGTGCTGTAGCACTGTAGTGTGTACTCTGTCCTGTACCCCTTCTCCGTAGTGCATTCTTTGTGATATTCCCTTCTCCGCACACTACCTGGCTCTGCTGCTAGGTTTCATGAGCTCCGAAACCAGATCAAAAGGAACACACCACGCTTGGCCAGGTATCGTGAGCTCTCATGCGAGGACGGGGCGGGAATTTTTCAGGCGAGGAACGGGCGAGGAAGACGCGAGGACAGGCACCTTGAACATTCAGACCCCCTCAAAAGGTAGATCTGGGGGGGCATATACATGTGTATATACACATATGTATATACACACATACATATTTGTGTATACAGCTATACACACATATATGGACCAGCGCTGGTACAGTTGCTGCTCTCTCTATCTCTCTTTCCTTTATTCTCCGTATCACCCCGCTGTTCGGGGAGGAGTCAGAGCAGGAGAGGGAGGTGTCTCTGTCTCTGGCTCTGTGTGTCTGTCTGTCTCTCTCTCTTTCTCTCTCTCTCTCTCTCTTTCTCTCTCTCTCTTGTTATAGTTCTCTCTCACTCTCTCTCTCTCTCTTTATGTCTTTCTCTTATTATATTTGTCTCTCTCTCTCTCTCGCTCTCCTTTGCATAGTTGTAATGTCTCTCTCTATATATATGGATATATATATATATGTGTATACACATCTATATATATATATGTATATACGCGTGACAGTCTGTGTGTCTGTCTGTTTCCCTTTCTCTCTCTCTCTCTGTCTCCCTGTGTTTTGGTCTCTCTTTCTTTCTCTCCATCTCCCTCTCTTCCCCGCCCCCGCTGCCAGAGGAACGCGAGAAAAAAAGGGGTCGGGAGGCGCAGGATCGGTGGAGAGAGGCGGGGGGGGGGCGAAGAGGGGAGGCCGAAGCCAAGAAGCTGCTCGCCGGGAAGTCTGATCGGCACCTGGCCTATGAGGCCTACCTCGGCGTGCTACGCATCGAGGGGGAAGGCCAGGACATGGCTCTCTCCTGCACGTTCGGGGTCCTGGGCGGGAGGAGAATTTGCAGGAGGAGGTGGAGGAGAAATATGTCATGAGGGAAAGAAACACACAGACACAATAAATCTTCGATTTCTTGGAAATGTGGGAAAATATGGGAAGTGGTGGGGAGGACAAAAACCCAGAAAGTATGGGAAAATATGGGGAATCTGTTTATGTGTGTGTGTATTTATTTATGTGCTCCAGGGCCCCTACAATATGAGGAAACATGGGAAAAGAGTAGGAGGAGAATGGGGGCAGTTATTGAGGAGATGGGAGTTCGCTGCAAGGAAGATGAGGGAAGAGGGCGACGAGGGGGGAGGGTAGAGAAGGGGAGGAAGGGGAGGAGAGCAGAGGAGGGGAGGAGGGTCTGGAGGTGAGGGAGGAGGTGGGGGATGAGAGTGAGGGGAAAAGCAGGAAACGCAGAGGAGGTGCCGCATGCACTCGGAGTGCAACGTAGTGTTTGCAGTCGCGCTTAGGGCCCCGGCAGCAAGGACTCGAAGCCGGCATGCGCTTCTTTTGATGAACACGGTTCATTCTTAGTTGGTCGCGCATGACAATGGTTTTGTACATGGCTGTCTGCATTTGACCAGGAGGTTGTTTAGATCGGCAGAGTCCTGCAAATGACCAGCTGTCCACATGCCAACCGATGTTGCAAACATAGATCGCGTGTTTATCGTTCAGCTTGCTTGTCTCACTTGATAGTGGCTTGGCCTTACGCTTGTTCGATTTCCAGCGGAGCTTGTACCCAGTCGCATCCAGTGGAGGTGCGACAGTTGCACCTATATGTTTGGTCAGATTCCTCAAATGGTTCTTGCATTTCGCTTATCGCCCCTCTGCTCTAAGGAACTGAGCCGTGTCTTCGGCCTGGCGGCCATGTGGCCGCCGTCAGCGCCCCGTCGCCGCCTCGTCGCCGCCCGTCGTCTGGGCGGTGTCTTCGGTCTGGCGGATGTGTGGCCGCCGTCGGCGCCCGTTCGCCGCGTCGTCTCCGCCCGTCGTCTGGGCCTGTCTGTCGGTCTGGCGGCTATGGGGCCGCCGTCGCCGCCCCGTCGCCGCCCTAGATTGCACAACCAAGATTGCGCCGCATATATTGTACCACGAAGATGGCACAAGGCGGACTGCACCGCACAGGTTCTCTTTTCTTACAAGAGAATAGACTCTCCCCCCCCCCCTGGACTATCGGCTCCAATTTTCCGTATTGCAATTTGTCACACGATTCTGCCCCATCGTCCATAGTAAAAATGGCTTCATGCCATTCAAGCCGAGCCGGGATCGCCCCCCCCGCCATCATGTGCAAAACATACTATGCGCACGCACTCGTGTATAACAAATCATTAGTTTCCAAGCATCCCTCGCAACAGAAGTGACGAAGTGCATACGCGCGCGTTGTCGCGCGCGCATGCCGAAATTCTTCCAAACCTGCTTGGTTTCGTGAGGATGTCAAAATCGAATGTCCAGTCCAACCTTACGAATCCTTGAGGCTGCTGCAAACTTGTAAGACGAATGCCTGCGGCGCTAATGCGAGAGCTGCATTTTGCAAACCACCCGCCCTCCATTCTTGAATATGCTTCATCATGTGAATATGGATTTGTGTTGCACTAACTTTCCAGCGAAACAAGTCAAGGACCCTCTGTACGACGAAAGCTCTGCAAATTCAAAATGCGCCCGCCACGGGATACATGTTGGAGGTGGTGACCTGGCCGACTGACAAGTAAAGTAGGTGCATGCCTAATGTTGTCCATGCATGATTCAGATCGAATTGGATCCTGGAGGACACGCTACGAGGTGCAATTTGCAATCAATAGCTCGCAGAGAGGCGCTAAGGCGAGAGCAGCATGTTGGAAAGGCCCGCCCTCCATTCTTCAAACTGTCGTGCGCTTTAACACGAATGTGCGCGGCGCTAAGGCGAGAGCCACATTTGGAAAAGGACCTGCCCTCCATTCTTGAACCTGTTTCGAACGTCAATGCGGATGTGCGCGTTGCTCAGGCGAGAGCCACGTTCTGGAAAAGTCCGGCCCGCCCTACCTTTACGTCTGGTGGTGCGACATGGGGAGTTACTTTCTTGGCAAATGGATGGAGGTGGAGGAGGGGGAAGGAGGGGGGGTCGAGGAAGGAGGGAGGAGGAGGAGGAGGAGGAGGAGGAGGAGGAGGAGGAGGAGGAGCAGGAGCGGGAGCAGGAGCAGGAGCAGGAGGAGGAGGAGGAGGAGAGAATGCAGTGCCCCTCAGCGAGAGGACCAGCTGGGCGCGAGAGCGCGCAAGAGCACGAGCTGGAGCCAAGCACAAATACCTCCGCTGGGTGCTCCTCCACGGGTCGCCCCCCCTGGTCGCCTCGAGGTATATCAGCCACGCGCAGAGGGGGGTGGGGGGAGGGGGGGGGGGGCTTCTTAGAAGCACCCCTGCTTCTTAGAAGGCGCGGGCCTTACCTATAGATGTAAGGCCGGCGCCTTCTAAGAAGCAGCCTGCTTCTAAAAAGCCCCCCCCCCCCCACCCCCTTGTGCGCGCCGCCAAGTATAATCTGGCGGGTCACGCCGACCTAATTACACTGCTGGGCCGCTCCCTCCCCATCCGCTCCCGAACGCCTCCATCCCGTCCCCTGTCCCCCTGCCTCATCGAAGCCGACAAAACATTTGATGCACGATTCTTCGAACGTCCGCGTCGATTTCTTGGACCTGCGCTGCCCGCCATCCCGCCTAGCCCCTACCATTCGAACAGTACACATATGCGTATGCGTAGAAGAACCCCTACTCTCGGGCCTCCAAGAGTTTACGTTCATGCGGTGTTTGGTTTTCTTCTTAGTCTCTACTGTACCCCCTCCACCTCTCCTCCCCCACCACCTCCCCTTCCCCATCCCGTCCATGTTCCCCCTCTTTTTTCCCTTCCCCCGTCTCCACCTCATCCCTCCCCCTTCCGTGCCTTCGCCTCTCCACCGCTGCTGATTTGAGGACGACGGCTGCCGTCGCTGCCGCTCCACCTTCTCTGCTCTCTGCCCCGGAGGCTCCCAGAAGGCGGCCGAGTGCTTCGAGATCTACAAGTCCCTAGGCGCCGGCATCGACGTCACGGCCGAGGACGAGGACACCCCGCCCCTTTCCGCTGCGTGCCGGGCGCCCCTCCCGTCCCCCTGGACCTTGAAAGCTGCTCGGCGCTCTCGCTTCCGCCCCTACCCTTTAAGTCGGGCACGTCCCTCTACCGGAGGAATATTCAACAATAGTCAAAAAATAGTCAGGGCACTATGCTTTGAGCATTTTTTGACCATTTGGGGGTATTTCTTGAGTGTCCTTTATTTTCGTTGAAAATTCCCCTGAATGGGGGACACGCCGGACTTCACCCTACCCCTGGCTGTTCCGCTCCTTGGTTTCTACAAATCACCCCCGAGGGGTTGTGACAGCGACGGGCGGCGCGCGTGACCGCGACGAGCGGGGGGGGCGGGGGGGGCCCGTGACAGTGACCTTCGCGGGGGGGAGGGGGGCTTGTGACAGTGACCCCGCGGGCCTTCCGACCTCGCCCATTGCCCCTCGCTGCGATCATCGTGGAGAAACCTTGTTCAAGACCATGGTCAAATATGAACGCGCGCACGAATAGGGCGTCTGACCCTACGTTCGCGTTTCAATGAGATTCCAAACCTCGGTTGACAAGGTTCGGTGAGACTCCGAGAAGGACTTAGACTTAGGCAGAGGCGGGGGACGGCCTCGGGAAGGACGGGGGGGGGTGAACTCATGGGAGGAAGAGCAGGCGGTCGGGGTGGAGAGGAATGGAGAACGCAGAGAAGAGGAGGAGGATCAAAATAAGACGTGCGGCATCGGCACCCCTAGCCACCTAACGCAGCGGCGGTTGAGGAGGGGCGATGCTGCCATCGGTGCCGACGTCGCCATCGCCATCGCCATCAACTTACTCTGGATGTCGGAATACATTTGGAGCCACCAGGGGGGGGGGGGGGCGAGCGCCGTCGGAGGGGGCGGATGCGGTTGGAGGAGGAGGAGGGACTGAGGAGGAGGAGGGCGGAGGAGGAGGAGCCTGATGATGAGGGATGAGGGGGGAGGAGGAGGAAGAGGAGGAGAAGCCTGAGGAGGAGAGAGGAGGAGGATGGGGAAACCCCGTCGGAATGTAGGCATCGTCGTCGCCATCGCTGCCGCGGCGAAGCCAAGATCCTGCCAGCGCGGGCGGCCAGCGGCGGCCAGGGTGGCGGGCCCCTTTCCCGTCTCCTCAGTCCTCCGTCCTCCGTCCACGTCCTCCTCCCCCCTCCTCCGCTCCTCCGTCCTCCGTCCTTCCTCCTGCCTGGCTGCCTGGCCTACTGCCTCCTGCTCACTGAACACACTGAACACTGGAACGCCTCACCCCTACTTCCTCCTCATCCGTCTCATCCTCTTCCTCTCGTCCTCCCTCCTCCTTATACTCCTCCTCCTCCCCTCCCTCCTCCTCTTCAGCATCACCACCATGACAATCGTCAGCATCACCGTCATCGCCATCATTATCATCACCAGACACCCACATGATCACCATCATCATCCGCAGCACTAGCATCATCATTATCATCATCGTCATCATCATCATCCTCCCCCTCCTCCTCCTCCTCCTCATCCCTCCTCACCCTTTGATCTCCTCCTCCTCCTCATCATCCTCCTCATCCGCCCCCTCATCATCCTCATCTCACCGCCCTCATCCCCCCCTCCCTCCACCCTCCTCCGCCACTATCCCTCCTCTCTCCTCATTCCTCCTTCCTCCATTCCTCCATCATCGTCATTCCTCATCCCCCGTCCTCCTCCTCATGGTGCGGAGCAATGATACAGCAATGAGACAGATTTGAGATTGGAGACGGGAGACTGATACAAATGCAAATGTTCTGACACGCGCACTGCCGCGTCGTGTCGCGCTCCTTGGAGCTCCGTGCCAAGCCGAGCGCTGCTCCGTGATCGCCACTGGGACGAATGGACGTCAACGCGTGGCCTGTTGCCCCGAAACACTACATGAGAAGAGATCTGCCCCGATCTCAATTCTCTGCGCGCCGGTCGATGGGGCGAGTGGCCGCTCCTAAGACCTAAGACAAAAATGGTGACGGATGCCGACTGCGTGGGCCAAGGGCATGCGCCTGGGCCAGGCGGCCTGGGGCCTGGGTAGTGAGTAGTGAGGAGTGAGGAGAGAGGACTGAGTACTGAGGAGTGAGGAGCGAGCCTCGGTGAGGAGCGCGAGGCGCGAGGCGCGAGGTGATTATTGGTTTTGGCCCCTGGACAGCGGACGGCCCAGGGTCCCAGAGTCACAGGTCCCAGGTCCCAGAACATCTTGAGCGAGCGTGTGAGAGCGAGGGGCCCGGGCAGAAAAGGACATGTCGCATGATGGCCCGAATGCCGCTGCGCCTAATGTCCAGTGCAGCGTGCCCTGCATGATGATCCGCCGCGCAAAAACTGCAGTCCGAATTAGTGTCGTGCCCGCCTCCTGCCTCCTGCCCCAGCTGCAGCTAGATCATCCATCCTCTCTCTTATTCACTTTTCCAACCTCCAACCTCCAACCTCCAACCGCTAGGCCAGCGTAGCACTTGCCCCTCACCTCGCCTGCGACGCCGCTGAGGCCCCATGCCCGCCGCCACTGCGGCGCTTCTTCGCGGGCTGCGTCGCCTGCGCCAGCAAGGAATTGACGGCTCCGAGCACGCAGGGGTGCGGGGTCATCAGGTTCAGCTGAGTAGCCTCGGAGCCGACCGTGTGCGCTTTGGCCTCAAGCGACGCCAGCACCCTGCGCAAGTGGCTTGCAAGGTCGCCGAGCGAGAAGCCAGTCGCACGGAACATCGCCTGCATGACGGCCATGGAAGCAGCGAGGCGGCCAGCGCGGACGATGGCCTTCTCCTGGAACCACCAAGCGTGCGACGGAGTACTCGGCTGCTGCTGCTGGTGGCGCCCAGGAACTGCGAGCGCGTGCTGCAGCAGAGGAATGCACGTCTCGTCGTAGAACTTCCACACGAAGAACCTCAGGGCTCAGGCAAGGGGCAAGGGCACACATCCGCGTCCTCCTCCGTCTCAAGACTCAAGACATCGCCCGTGCCTCGTTCCTGGACCGCCCGCGTTCGCATCCTCCTCTCCGTCGTAGGACCTCATCCTCATTTCCCATCGTTCCTTCTCTATTCCTCCTCCTCCTCCTGCTCAGTCTCCTCGTTGCTCCTTCCAGGCCCTAGGTCACTGCCGCCCTCCATCCCTCCTGTTCCAACCTCTGGTCCTACCTGGCTCCTACCTCCTACTCGGTCATGCCGCCATGCCTCATGCCGCATCCTCATACATCCGACCTCCTACCTGGTCCTACCTGGCAGCCTACCTCCCACCAACCTCTAACCTCCGACCTACCTACCTCCTACCTCCTACCTGGACCTACCAAGGCCCTACCTCCGACCACCTCCTCCCCATCATATATATATATATATATATATATATATATATTTATACTTCCCTGCTTCGTCGGTCCACCCCCACCCCATGTCCGCGCCAGGTCGCAGGCGATGCCGCGCGACCGGGGGGGCGGGAGGAGGAGACACAGGAGGGGTGGCGTAGGAGTTTACGAGGGCGAGGTCGAGGTGGAGGAGGGAGGAGGGGGGCGTGGAAGCAGGAGGAGGGGAGGGGGAGGGGGCTGCGGGGGTAAGTGGTAAGTGGCAGCATGTAGGATGTAGGAGGTAGGGGGTAGGAGGCTAGCCGCCACTAGCGCGGCAACGCTAAGGCCTGCACAACGTCTTGGCGGGTTTGCCGCTGGCGACCTCCAAGTACGTGGCGCTATCCTTCTCCTGAACGATTAAGCCCGCCTCGCTCATCTGGTCGAGAGCGTCGCTGAGCGGGAGTGGGCCCAGGTGGAAGGCGTCGTCGTCGGGCAGCGTCGCCAAGAGCTGTTTCGTCATGCGGGCCAAGTCCTCGACCCTGCCAACCAACGTAGCGCACATGGCATCCGTCGTCGCTGTGCAAACCGAGGCCAGCGCTCGGGCCTGAGGCGTCACAGTGCACCCTGCCGCAATCCATGACGACACCACTTCGTTCACCTCGGCGAGGGCAGTCCTGTGGAGGCACACCGCTGCGTTGAGAGCGTTGGCGAACGCCGTCCCCAACTTTGCGCGGTGCGCCAACAGCGCCTCCTTCAGCGGGGTCAAGAAAGACCAGCTCAGCACACACTCCGCACACGTCACAGACCACACATCGTCATATCACATCACGAATCACATCACATCACACCTCACACATCACATCACGTGACCACTGACCACTGACACGCTGACATTGACCATACACCATACCATACCCACACCCCACACCCCACACCCCACACCGACCCCCCACACGCACATCGACAGGAGCTAACTGGGAAATGAGAAATGATCGATCGACCCTGGACTCCTGGACTGATGGATCGTCGATCGGATGATCGATCGCCGATCGATCGTCGATCGTCGATCAATCAGTCCAGGGCCCAGGGTCCAGGGTCCAGTCCAGGGAGTCCAGGGTCCAGGGCAACTTCGCTCTCCCCTTCCTCCTCCTCCCTCCTCATCCTCCTCCTCATCCTCCTCCGCCCTCCAGAGCATGAGGCGGGGGTCTTCGTCGCCGTCGTCGAGGAGGTCCTGCCGGGCCCTCGCGCCACCCTCGTCGCCGTCGACGTGCTGCCAGAACGCGGGGTACAGCGCGCTTCCAGGTTCGCCGTCCTCATTGAGGGCAGTAGCGTCCACCAGAGATTGCGCAGCACGCCTCTCCTTGCAAAACCAAAACATCTTGATTGCAAGTAACACGTGGTCGCCTGAATGCTTCTGGAACGCCGCGGGGTTCGCTGGGTCCTGTGTGCTCGGTCCCCAACCAGGTGAGAATGCAGGGCGGAAGCGGCAAATGGTGGATGCGATGCAGCTCAACGCGTCCAGGGACGCGAGAACTCGTGGCGACCACTCCTCGTCGTCGCTCAGGTTCGTGGCGGCCGCCTCGCACTCCTTGGCCAGGTCGCCAGTGCCCGCCTCCATGCGCGAGGCAGCAGCAAGAACTCCAAATGGGCTGGTAGTCAAGGCTGCGCTGCAGGCACAGTGCAGCAGTAGCCTCGCCTTGAGCACCGCGGGTGGCCAGTTGGCGATGTTCCCGCCGAGGACCGTCTCCAATGGCACGCGGCAGTTCTCGTTGGACATGACGACTTGATCATAGAACTGCTGCAGCTCACTCGATTTGAGGTTGTCATGGTTGTCGCTCATGAGCATGGCGAGCCCTGACGCCCATGCGTGCGCGGCCTCCGCTGTCCGTGAGTGCGCGGAACTCACGCGCGATGCTCGATCAGGGGCGAGGTGGTTGCAGCGAGGTCCCTCCGCCTCGGCGACGGCTCTGAGAAGCTGGAGTGGGCGGTCAAGCTCTGCGCGAGAAGCCGCACTGGACACGTCGACCAGCGCCCGGT